AACATAACGGGAAACTTCATCTACTCGTTTTGAAATAAATGCTGAAAAACCAATTTTTTTTCAGTTTTTGCGATATAACTCAAAAATGGCGAGTCAAATTTGCTTAAAAAAATTATGGATTAAATTATATCAATAACCATAAAACATATATTTTTTTTGGAATTTTTGAACATAAGGTTCAGAAAATAGGGGTTGACTTTAAACCTTAATATAAAAGGACTGAAAGGACCATTATTTGGAAGCGAAAATTAGCATTCCAAGTATTCCCTAGAATCAAACAAGAATGTTATGTCTAGGATTCATATTGGGAATGATATATGTAGATATATTCTAAGAATATTTCAAGCATATTGGTATAAAATTCTTTTGAGAACATAACTATAATGTCAAAGAAACATTCTTTGAATGTGAGAATATACATTTCGAGCATATTTTTAGAATCAAACAGGAATATTCTTTTCAAGATGTACTGAGAATCTCATAGGAATATTCTAGGAATATTCTTATGGATTTCCCAGGAAGTTCTTGGGTATTGCAAACATTATTTCTACAATCTTTTCTCAGAACATTCTCAGGACATTCGCAATGGTTTTCGCGAATATTCTCGGCACATTCCTTCTAAAAAAAGAACTTTCTAAGGATGCAATTTTGTTATGTGAGTAAAGACTGGGGTTGGACATACATATATGGGTGAAAGATGGCAGCCAAAAGGGGGCACATTACTGGAAATTTGAGGCGATCACAAGGATTTGTAAAAGTGTGGCTGCAAGTCCAGGGTGCGATAGTATGAGGTGTTGCTGCCGCAAGGCGCAGCTACCTTGCACATACCCGCTTGCTTCCACAAGTATAATAAAATTTCTAAAATATTGGATTAATACCTATTCAATTTGTCTCCTTCATAACAAAATTTAGAGGTTAGGTCATGATTGTGAGATATAACGCGTGAAAATTTAACTTAAACTGATTTATGAACATCGACAGTCACTCAACGCTATAGTAAAAAATAGGGTTTACGTTTAAAAATTAATCCAAATGTATTCAAACATGCATACGAAAGCAAAGCATTAATAGGTCCAAAACGAAACACGTAGGACAGAACGGCTATGCTAGCCTACCCCATAATGGATGAGAACCATTAAAAAATTCAGAATACCTACTTGTCATACATTGGTAGTCATCTTTCAAAAAATTCAAGGATTAACGAAGAAATTCAACATTGAGCGGAGAATTCCATGAACCAAACTTTTGTGATTCTGTATTAGTGAAACTTCTCGGTACTTATAATAACTGCGTCTTTGATGGCCAGAACTTATCAATCAATCAATCAAAATATACTTTATTGTCGGAAAATAAATTTCATTGACAAAGCATGATCTTAAATAATGTGCAAGTAATTAAAAATTATCGGGTTATAAAAAAAAAGAGGTACAATCAATAAAATAAAAAATAAACATAAACATAAATGTCAAAGCACAATCCTAAGCAACACATGTACAATTTTTACTACATCAAACTATAGAGTCATATAGAAGGTACAGCCAATACAGAAAAAAACATAAAGGTTGCGGTCAGAACAAAAGAAAACAATGAAACAAACAAAATTAAAATTTTTCATTTAAAAATTCATTAATATGATAGTAGGCTTTTCCATGTAAAAATGTTTTGAGCTCTAGTCTAAATTTTTTAAAACCACCTATCTGCCTTAAGTTAACAGGCAGATGATTAAAAATTTGCCTACTTTTATAAATTAGTGAATTTTGCGTCTGCCCTGAGAATAACTTTTCATACACAATTTTTACCCGAGTGATTTTCATCATTACTATTTCACGTATGGGGATTTATTATAGGTAGTAGGTATAGGTTATAGGTAGGGTATATACCTAATTTTTAAGCAGAAGCGTAAAATTTTGAAAAAATCAAGTTGGATTGTTGCAATTACTTATTTAAAAAATTCAACATTTTTTGTTACTTAGAGTTTTTACTTTAAAATACAAACAAAACCGTTGTATTGAATTTAAATTAATCTATGATAGCATCCAGATAATAAACTTTCCGATATTTCATCTTTTTATGTTGTCAAAATTATATTTATTGGTTTGTTTACTTTGTATTATCAACATGGCAAGTAGGTATATCATATAAATCCGCTATAAATTTTTGATAATGTGACGGACTCCGCGAGTCCACTGAAACTATCCTTCCTAACAATTTAGAACAACTTTAATTGAACTATTGACTTTACAAAATTCACTTATCACTTATAACTTTATTATAACAAAGAGGGGAGTTTTTCTTTTCTTCGTTATATTATAACAGTTCCTCTTATTCGAACTAACAGACCGAAGACCGACTTGCAAACTACGCTCTGTATATACAATACTATTCAATCAAGACTCGAGACATTTCTAGAATCACATAAACGCTCCAGCTTTCCACAATATGAAAAATTGCCCAGCATTTATTATAATAAAATAATAAAAGTCCATCGAAATATTTTCGGGGCAAAAAAAAACAACAGATATTACTAGATTTTGTCGTTAATACTCAATAAATTGAGCAAGCTCAACGGTAGCTATTGGAAGTAAATTGTAACAAGAAACTGGATAAAAACAAGGGTGATTACAAGTCAACCTAAATTGAAGATTGTGTGGTGGAATGGAAAACATATTTGGAAATCGACAGAATATTTTAATGAGTGAAATTCTAACACACCTTTTTTCTGGGATTCTTTTGAAACACTCCCAAAATACTTATATAACCTACTTCAGATTGAAACTTTCGTCTTTCAACCACCTATTTATCAATACCTACCCAAAGATGTCCTGAGTCGTATATTCAATCTAAACCGTTTATTACCTATATTATAGTTATCTAATGCCCGTATTACATCTGTGTATTTTTCCGTGTATTTATTCATGTAGTTCAGGGTGCCAACATTATTTTGTTTTTCATAATGCTAATTTATGTGCGTTTGAAGTTTTTCGGTTGTCACCCTGACTACATGAATAAATACACGGAAAAATACACAGATGCAATACAGGCATAATGTAGATACTAAACTAATTATTGAACAAATACCATTATTTCATAATAAACACATTAATATTGTGTTTATTCAAACATACGCGCAATAAACTTTTATAAATTTTAATTGTTTCATCCCACAGATATTTAATCGGCGCCGTCAATATTTCCGCGTATTCGTGATTATAATTTTATTAAAAAATAATTGTTTTAAATTCATCATCAATTATACTAAGAATTTTTTATATCATATGGAGGAACTTGGAACATCCTCCTGAGACAGGATATGTTTTGATCAGCCATGGCTCAAACTATTGTTAATTGTTATTGTATGTACCTATTGAATGTATGTACCTATAAGAGTGGAAATTCTGAATACACATTGACAGTTTAATTCTTGTAAAGTTTAAATAAGTGAAATAGGTATATTTAGATTTTTTTTTATCAATTATCACAGGCACTAAGATAAGTTGGGTGCAGGTACTGGACTCTGGAGGTGGGTCAAACGATTTAATATTGATTACGTAAATAAGTTTTTTTCACAAAATTTGATGAGCTAATATATTATCAATAGTAATATAACTAGTGCAATGGAAATTATTGATAATTTTTGGGAAATTTGCCCGAATGTATTTTTAGTTAAAAAAGAGCACCAGTGCACGAGTGCCTTTTTCAGTTAAAAACGCATGAGTGCAAATTTGTCGAAAATTATAAACATATTTCCATTGCACGAGTTGTATTTAATGAGAGAATTTCATAAATCAAAAATTTGAATTTTTTGTCAAAAAATGTCACAACACCAGTTTTCGCACCAGTTACTATGCAATTATCTGATAATTTGCACTAGTGCAAATTATCAGATAATTGCAATCTGATTGGTTCAAATCAAAAATCAAAACATGTCAATTCATTGTTGAAATACCAGTTTTGACAGATGTATGAAATTCTCAGGATAATACAATCTACAATTTGTAATAAACTTTTACCCTTCACGATTAACGGGACATTCTTGGTAACTTTTGACCACCTGTCCATTTTGACACCATACATTCTTAAACAGCAGTATCTTATCTCAAAGTCTACAACACAAATTGATCAAACGGTGGTCCAACAGAAACATTGTGCCCAACAACATTTTTGTAGCCCTAAGTATCTAGGTACTTTAAGAAAAGAAGCTGTATAGGAAGGTACTTATTTTGAAGAAATTATTGAGTTTAAGGGAGGAATTTGGTATAAAAGCTCTATCGTTACTGGGGTGCAGAAATAACATATTTGAACCAAATTTCTTTATAGTAGGGATAATCTAATTACTTTTTTCTACAACTGTCAAAAAATGATGATGTTCGCACACTCATGACAGTTTACGAAGTGACACTTTTTTTCCCAGGTACCTACCTATTGATTTTTTAACATTCCCATGACGCCGTGCGCGAGCGAGCTATTTCGCACACTAGTGCGCGAAATAGCTAGTTCGCACACTGCTGTCATGGTGACACATACCTGTCAGGAAACCAAAAATAATTAAAATTCACCTACCTTTGAGTGAAAATGCAATTTTGCCTTCGAATGATCGATATTTAAATGCAGTTGTAGCATTTCGCGCAATAGATACAAAAATAACTATTATGCTCCAGGTTATTTTGCTACAAACTACATTACCAAAAAAAGTTATATGAAAAAATTCATGGGGCATTGACCATGAAAATCCCAGTTGAACCTTCATTTTAATTGGTCTAATAGGTACTATAGTAGTATAAATAATTAAGACGTTAGCTCAAGTCGTGACCCTAAATAAATTGAAAAACCACGATCCATCCTTCTCAAAACCCATAGGTACCGGTTTAATACAAACATACCACAGAGTCATCCTTCAATAGAATACTATTGTTCCATCAATCAAAGAAATATTAATTTTTTATAAAAACCGGTACAGAATATTATTTGTCTATAATAAAATCAGTATCCAACTAGGAGTTTTTCTCATTTAAACGGCGATGGTTCGTGGGTGTTTTTAATCAAACAAAATAGGAAGTTGCAAAATATTAATAGGCGAATTTGTGCATCCAGTTATTAATGCAAAATGAATCCATTAGTGATAACAATATTACTGTGAACGTGCTTTAAATAATTTATGGATAATTTTTTCTACAAGTTGCAAGTGATTTTTCAGCTAATTTATTCTTTAGTTATGATTGTTTTTAGCGCTTTTATCATTTTGGCTTTAGTGAAAATTGGACATTTCCAAGAGCGTAAGTTTTTTTTATATTTTTATGTTCGGAGGATTAACTAGGTTTTTCCAGCAATAATATTCTGGGATTATAGATAGTAAAATGATCTATGAAAATCCATTAATCAGCAATAAAATTATTTCGATATTTGACTGGTTAATTTATAAAATAGTCTCACCTATGAGTCATTTTGGAATCCATCAAAACTATTAGATTAATTGATAATTAATTTTCTTTTATCACTATTTCTTTTAGAATTAAGCCTAGAAGAATGTTTTGACAAATACGAAAGGGGTATCTATCCCCATCCAGACGACTGTACCCAATTTCTTTCTTGTGCCACCACTGACCCTCTAGACTGTCCTGCAGGTCTACATTTTAATCCAACTGAATTTGTGTGCGATTGGCCTGCTAATGCTGGATGCATGAAAGTGACCACGCCTAATCCAGAGGATACTCCTCCACCGCCAACCGATTCACCTGAGAAGCCTAGTGAAAATGTCGAAGCATCAACTCCCAGTGTAACTCAGGAACCAGCTAAATCAGATCAGCCAAGTCTACCTCAAGAAACTACATCAAATGCTCCAACTTCCGCTGCATCAGACAAACCGAGTGGACCCCAGGAAACTACTCCTAAAGCTAGTACGCCTCCTGAAGCGGAGCAATCTAGTGAACCACCAGAAACAACATTAAAAGCTTCTACTCCCTCTGAATCTGAACAGCCAAGTAAACAACCAGAAACTACACCAGCGGCTTCAACTCCAGCTGAAACGAATCAACCTAGTGAACCCCAAGAAACTACGCTTAAAGCAAGTACTCCTGCTGAATCAGAAAAACCAAGTGAACCTCAGGAAACTACACCTAAAGCAAGTACTCCGGCTGAATCAGAAAAACCAAGTGAACCTCCAGAAACTACACCTAAAGCAAGTACTCCGGCTGAATCAGAAAAACCTAGTGAACCTCAGGAAACTACACCTAAAGCAAGTACTCCAGCTGAATCAGAACAATCCAGTGAACCTCAGGTAACTACTCCTAAACCAAGTACTCCAGCTGAATCAGAACAACCCAGTGAACCTCAAGAAACTACCCCTAAAGCAAGTACTCCGGCTGAATCAGAAAAACCTAGTGAACCACAGGAAACTACCCCTAAACCAAGTACTCCGGCTGAATCAGAAAAACCTAGTGAACCACAGGAAACTACACCTAAAGCAAGTACTCCGGCTGAATCAGAAAAACCTAGTGAACCTCAAGAAACTACCCCTAAACCAAGTACTCCAGCTGAATCAGAACAACCCAGTGAACCTCAAGAAACTACCCCTAAACCAAGTACTCCAGCTGAATCAGAACAACCCAGTGAACCTCAAGAAACTACCCCTAAAGCAAGTACTCCGGCAGAATCGGAAAAACCTAGTGAACCACAGGAAACTACACCTAAAGCAAGTACTCCGGCTGAATCAGAAAAACCTAGTGAACCTCAGGAAACTACACCTAAAGCAAGTACTCCAGCTGAAACAGAACAACCCAGTGAACCTCAAGAAACTACTCCTAAAGCAAGTACTCCTGCTGAATCAGAAAAACCTAGTGAACCTCAGGATACTACACCTAAAGCAAGTACTCCAGCTGAATCAGAACAACCCAGTGAACCTCAAGAAACCACCCCTAAAGCCAGCACTCCGGCCGAATCAGATAAGCCAAGTGAACCTGCAGAAACTACCCCTAAAGCAAGTACTCCCTCTGAATCAGAAAAACCTAGTGAACCTCAAGAAACTACTCCTAAAGCCAGTACTCCAGCCGCATCAGATCAGCCAAGTGAACCTGCAGGAACTACCCCTAAAGCAAGTACTCCTTCTGACTCAGAACAGCCGAGTGAACCCCAGGAAAGTACACCAAAAGTTTCAACGCCTTCTGCATCAGAGCAACCAAGTGAGCCACATGAAACCACACCGAAGGCTGGCGCCCCGTCTGAATCAGAGTTACCAGAAACTACTCCTAAGGCTTCAATTCCTTCACAATCCGAGCATCCAAGTGAACATCCACCTATTTCTGAGGTAATTATGCAGTATCTCCCGATCCTATACGCGTAGATGTAATTAAAGTTTAAACCTTAATATTTCAAAACTATAAATCCCGATATTAACAAATTTTGAATATCAGGAAAAACCCATTTCATCCTAGCTTGAAATATACAGGGTTTAATTTAATGAATTTCAAGTCGCCCTTGTTCCGTCCTTTACAATGAGCGATAATTGATAAATGATAATTCAAAAAATCCCGGCTCACCACTTAAATGATCACACTGTACATTTCTAGGTAGCTTTCCATAAATGGATATCTCATATCAATTTATAAAATATCACTAAAAATCAATAGCTAAGTTCTAACTTTTCTTATTTTCAACAGGCACCCTCTAAGGTAACCCCATGTGGCCCCGACAGTCCTCAACCATGCGAGGAACCTTCTCAAATTCCACCTGGAGAACCCACAGAGCCAGGTATGGATAATCAACCTCCTCCTCCTGCGCCTACAACACCGTGCGATCCGAATCTCGATGGGTCTTGTCCTGAACCGTCGCCGCCAGCTCGAGAACCAATAACTGAACCTCCATCTCCTGAAGAATTCGATGTTGAAACTAGATTCAAAGAAGCTTCACCTGAACCTGAGGAATCGGACAAAGAACCAATGCCTGAGCCTCCTCCGCAGCCTCCTCCAGGTGGTCTTACTCTTAAGGAATGCATCACTAAATATAAATTTGGAATTTTCCCACATCCAACTGATCCGACTAAGTTCTTTATTTGCACTAAAATCAAGCCTTTGGAAATGACTTGCCCAGTGGGGCTTATATTTGATCAAACTTCGTATAGCTGCGATAGGCCTAAGCCTTCACCACCACCACCTCCACCAGGTAAACCATTACACATTTCAAATACTTTATAATAAGAATGATGTAATTTTGCGAAGTGATAATTCTGTGCTCCAAAAAGAGCGAAATTCATGTTTCATATGGTACTGTATCCTACACATTTTGAAGTTAGCGGTTTCTCATACCTACTCATACAGATAACTATTTTCATTCTCACACTTCTTAAATGGTTCAATTGCTTTTTCTGTTTTTCTTCAAAAGAGTTTTTATATAGAACACTTTTAATAAGATGCGTGATTCTTGACACGTAATCGTAATGTCGCAACTCATGCAAATATGTTAATTTCAGCCCTCAACCTACGTGATTGTTTGACTGAACACCCAAGAGGCTTGTTTTCACATCCCACTGATTGCAGTAGGTTCTATGCTTGCTCCAGGCGTGGCCCGGTCGAGATGATGTGTCCAGGAGGTCTCCATTTCAACCCTATTAAATGTGTTTGCGATTTTCCTTCTAGACACTGTGTTAGTCCTGAGGCCAAAACAAGAGATCAAAGTAAGCATAATTTTTCTTTCTACTAATTATCTTATGATAAAATTTGTTGCAGTTTTCAGGACGATGAAAGGAGACAAGATTGTTCCAGATGTAGTAGATCGTTGTCCGGAGAAACTAGCAGAAGTGGCATTCCCTAGTGGGGGCCAAGTTGACTTAGGCAAAGAGCTAACTCCATCTCAAACACTCAAGCCGCCAAGTATTTATTGGGAAGCAGACAAAAAGTCTTTCTACACTCTCTGCATGGTGGATCCAGACGCGCCCAAAGCAAAAGAATCTAAATTCAACGAATGGAACCATTGGACGGTTGGAAATATACCTGGAAATAATATTAAAATGGGACAACCTTTGGTGGATTACTTACCGCCATGTCCTCAAAAGAATTCACAACCTCATCGTTACACTTACATGGTTTATAAGCAACCCAGTAGGATCAACTTTAATGAACCAAGAGTACCGGCGAATTCTTTCCAAAACCGCGATGGATTTTCTATTAGGAATTTTGCCCAAAAATATCAATTAGGACAGCCAATAGCTGGCAATTTCTTCAAATGTAGATGGGATCGGTCTGTACCCAACGTTTTGGAAAAACTACAGTTCCAGCCGCCACAGTTTCAGATGTATTATGGACCTAGAGCCGGAGGCGCAAATAGAATGAATTCGAATTCATATTCTTACTCTTATAGTTTCAGGATATAATTTTTTTTTTGTATTAAACATAAAAAAATAAATATTTATCTTTGTATGACTTTTATGGTTAAGTGTGTTTAATCTTGACACCTTCTACATGTGCTGTACTTACTTTTCTTCTTCATTATCCCAATAAGGAAAGACGATATATTATTATATCTAAAGGTATGTAGAGCTCTTCAAGATCATTTTAAAAAAGATTTGAATCAAAGATCTTGATCAAAAATTGAATTACGAAAATTGTAGTTGTCTGTTAATAATGTTGAAGCATACCATTAATTGATTATGCACTGTTTTAAATCTTGTTTCGAAGCAGGTCTAAATTCTGTATTTTAATTTTTTTTGTAAAGTATGCCCAAATATTTTTGCTCTTAACATGATCTTACATGCTGGAACGTAAAATTATCTCCAAAGCGTTCATTAGCGAATGGCAGCATTACATCTAATTATGTATCTGCCCTGGACCTTCAGCACTTATACAGGCCCATGGACAGAAAGTCTTCCGCTAGACTGATTAAATTGGATGTTGTCCTCCTCATACCTGGTTCGTCGTGGCCTATAAACTTTTAATGTTGGGCTACTATTGCATGACTGAAAAACTTTTTCGTCAGAGAAAACTATATTGCTCCAGAAATTTTCAGGTTCTTGAGAAAATAACTGAGCAAACTGTAATCGACACTATTTTTTTGCACTGAAAATAGTTTACGAGCCGCTGAATGACATTTAAATCCAGTTTCCTTAATACGCCTTCGCGCAGTTTTAACTGAAGCTGGAAAACTACTATTCTTTGGCTCTAATTTCGCTTTCGCTTTTTCATGGTTGGTTAAAATATGGTACTTTTTTTTTCAATCTTATTCAAAAACCTTATAAAACTGTTCTAGTTCGCCACTGACTTATTACTTTGACACAATTTTGGTATTACCGGCTTGTTAAAAAAGTCAGATTTTGATGCAATACGAGGTGCGTTTTTAAAGTTTGTACCAATTCCAATGGCCGCGACTGTACTTGTTACATAAATAGCTATTATATTCAAATCTTTTTCAAAATTGAAAGCATTTCAGGAAAAATTCAAATAAACTACGCGTCAATCGAACGCGAACACCCCAATTTTTGGTCCCTTTTTGAAAGACTAGGTATAACTCAAAATCTAGCAGGCCGATTTTGTTCAAATTTTCAGGAGTGAAAGGCTGCTCTAATTGCTAATTAATTTCCATTTGCTAACAGATTTCCGTCCACCTGCTGAAAGGAAAGATACAGGGTGAAACATAAGTTGGCGATTTCTTTACGAAAGTTTCGGTTCACCCCATTCTGCTGGAGGGAGGGTTAAGTAGATTTCTGATATGCAGTTTGGAAGAGTACCTTATTACCTCGGAACGTTTTTGAGGTTTTTTGAATATCGCAGCCGACTACGATTTTATCACGAGTAATACGATTTTATGTAAAATATAGCTATTGACATCATTATTTCTTTTCGGCGTATGTGGCGCATGTGAAAACACACTTAGAACATATTATACAGGGTCATACAAAAATATATAGGGTGTTCTAATAAGACTTTCCGGATGTTTTTCTAAATTCAAACGAAAAGCCAACTAGGAAACATTTATTACTTTATAGCAATGAGTAACATGATCGTTAACAATTATATCGGGTGTTCAAAAAAATCAAAGATTGCTATGGTTTTTTAAACGTATGTCTTAGCAATATTTTTCTTTAATCTTGTCAATGAAGTTTTATGTCAAAATGTCATGTCAAAAATCCTGACCAATAAAAAAACAATAATCCGACGTACGTCTTCGTAATGAAAGCAATCTTTGATTCGTTTTTTGTGAAGACCCGATATGTGAAACACAATATCCATCAAATAGCTATCGCGACTTCTCTCACAGCACACGACTCTTTTGCCAAAATGTTCGATCACATCTGTGCACATTTCCAGTGGTATCTCACGAATAATGCGCCGAATCACATCTTTAAACTCTTGAATTGTTTGGGGATTGTTCACATACGCTTTTATTTTGATGTAAGCGACGCAACATGTGACACAGCAAGATAAACCATTCACTTATTGCAAACACGGTTTGAAGGTAAACATCTTTCAAGAAATGGGGATGTCAATTGGCCGCCTAGATCTTGCGATCTAACGCCACTAGATTTTTTTTGTAGGGTTATATCAAAAGCAAAGCGTATGTTAACAATCTCCCAAACAATTCAAGAGTGGAAAGATGAGATTCGGCGTCTTATTCTTGAGATACCACCGGAAATGTGCACAGATGTGATCGAAAATTTTGGCAAAAAAATTGTGTGCAGTGAGAGAAGTCGTGGTGGCCATTTGTTGGATATTGAATTTCATGTATAATTGTGAACGATTATGTTACTTATTGCTATAAAGTAATAAATGATTCCTAGTTTCCTTTTCGTTTGAATTGAGAAAAACATCCGGAAACTCTTATCAGATCACCCTATATATTTTTGTATGACCCTGTATAATTGTTCTAAGTGTGTTTTCACAGGCGCCATTCTTGTAGTGTTTGTTTCGAAAAGAAATAATGACGTCATTAGCTATATTTTACATAAAATCGTATAACTCATGATAAAATCGTAGTCGGCTGCGATATTCAAAAAATCTTAAAAATGTCCCGAGGTACTAAGGTACTCTTCTAAACTGCATACCAAAAATCTACTTAACCCTCCCTCCAGCAGAATGGGGTGGACCCAAACTTTCGCACAAAAATCGCCAACTTATGTTACACCCTGTATCTTTTAGCAGGTGGCCGGAAATCTGTTAAGAACTGGAAATTAAATAGCAATTAGAGCATCCTTTCACTCCTGAAAATTTGAACAAAATCGGCCTGCTAGATTTTGAGTTATAGCCTTTCAAAAAGTGACCAAAAATTGGGGTGTTCGAGTTCGATATGACGCGTAGTTTATTTACAAAACATTTAAATGTTTTCAAAATATTTTTAAAGGTTTAAATCACCTGAAAGTTTTTAAATCATGTACTTAGATTGATTTGAATCGTTTCGTAATTTTCCAACAAGAAAAACTACTTAGGATTTAGGTCATTCATAATTTTAAAAAATAGACCAGAAAATGTAAAAAAAAATATGTCAACAAATCTGAAATTCAAAAAATCGCATAAAATGAAAAATTCGAAAAAAAAAACAGTATTGAAAACCATACTAAAATAGCTATTTATGTAACAAGTTGTAAAATGAGCGTGATTTTTGCACTAAATGTGAAGATTGGACCATTTTGTGTGCACAGAAACAGCCATTTTGCGACGTTTCATGCAAGATTTTTTGTGATTCATTCAAATATTTGAAATTCAAAATATAAACTCGATATAACACTGACACGGAACGCACTCCAAATCTCATTTCAACATTCAGAATCAGTAATGAAATGAGATTATGAGATCTCATTTTAATACTTTATTAGAACACACTGCTTATTTTGGCATTTGTGTTAAAATGAACCACTTTTGAAAACCAAAATCAATGTCAAAAAGATGCCATTTCGTAACTGAATTACAAAAAGTTAATGATTTTTTTTTTAGGCAAACAAATAATATTTGATAAAATTACGTTTGATATTTAAATTGAGTTCTTAGGTATTTTTCCTGCGGAAAAATCCATTTAACATTTGAGTTAGGTTTTCTTATATCTGTCCATTTTAAACTGATTGTTCCACAAGGTGTTTTTTACGTTGCAGAAATCCATAATACGAAATATAGTCTAGGAGCTAGCTCATGTCCGTGAACATCTATTCAGATCAAAAAAACATTGGTCGCATGATCCAGTTCATGGTCGTTTGGTCATCATATTTAAAAATGGCCGCCATATTGCTAGACTTATATCGCCGTACACAGTGCTCCGATTTTTAATTTTCAAAGCTCATTTTATTCCTTTTCTAAAGGCATGAAAATCTTGTAGATAAACATTTTCTGGTAAATCCAATAGTTATTGAGATACATTAAGTTTTTCGATATATTGACTTCGGTCAGCCAAATGAATGGCATAATTGGAGAAGAAGATACTTTGGAATATGATCATGGATAAAAAGCAAATGAGAATCCTAATAACCCATATTTCTCACATGACAACGACTTTAAAAGTAAACAACATGGTTATTTGATCTATTGATACCTACTGTTATTTTTGCTACTGCACTCTATCACTATTAGTAGAAGTAGAAAAGAGTAGGACTTGAAGAACGTTGCCTTTGGAGTAGGGGAAATATTGCGGTAGATTCCACTTCACTCCTTTGATGGCAGAGTACCACACTGTTTTAACAGCTTTACGTGCTATTCTGCTATTCATTCTCAAATCCGGCTGCGACACTACAAGCAAAGTCAGTACAGTTATTGGCAGCTTCGAAAGTAGCAGAATCGTGTGACGAAGATCCTTCTTAGAATTTGGAATTTGGCAAGGTGCCACTAAATGAAGACATGGCGAAAAGTGCGGAAAATTTTTGGTTTGTGCACTTGGCTCAAACTTATATGTATAGTATTTGTAATACCCATTTAGAATAACCCCATCCTTATTTATCAATCACGAATCCTATGAAACAAAAAATTACCAACAAAAACGAACGTCGGTTGCTAATACGTCAATTTCATGTACAAATAGGAAATTCCTAACCTAATTTTATTTGTGAGTCAAGAAGCGACATACGTTTTGTCACTAGAACGACTGGTACTTCCAAATAGGTATTAAAAATACTATACAGGGTCTGTTCCTCATAATTAGTGCGGCTCCTACAACTTAAACAAAAGAAAATACAAAAAAAAAATTAAATACAAAAGTTGTAGGGTTTTATCTCTATTATGTTTTGCACATGTCAAAATGGGCAAATGGCAGGTGCCAACTGTCATAATGACAGCACTTGCATTTTTTTAAATAGAACACCCTGTATATTTTTAGCTAGGATGATAGATTTTTTTCTTCCGATTTCAGATGTATCATATATGTTCATATTTGGTTCAGCTGTTTTTGCGCTATTTCATTTTAAAATTGCATTGACCAAGCCTCATCATTGATATTAGAAACCGGGAATAGACCTAAT